TATTGATCTTTGATAAAGCATACTTGACTTGAGGTGTCTTGGAGGACTACATATCAGAGCCAACTAACAAGCTGGGGGTTACTGTTCAAGCACACCCCTCAGGGCTCAGTTTTGTGTTTTTGTATAACGACACTCTGCGCATTGCAAAGAAGCCTAGGCTATAAATGTTGTGGCATTGGCCTATGTGGTATGCAGCACTTTTCCCTATACAAGGAAACAAACAATAAATGAATAAATCTGGCAATTTAATAAATAACATTTAAAAAATTTAATAATTTAAAATAAATGAACAAAGAAAATAATCATCAGATTAATTAGGCTTTTTTGTAGTGAAAGCGATGCATTCAATATTCAAGTAGGAGGCTTTAAAATACAGACACATAAAAATATGAGCAATAATACAGGAATTGTTGTGGTTTTAATCAGATTGAAACTAAGATCAAATTGCAAAATCCAGACCGTATTCAAAATGATACTGAGAGGATTGTGCAACACACATTCTTCATGACTCAGCAGACAACAACCCCCAAACAGCTATTTTCACTGCAGTCTGAAGCAGTTTGTAAAGTGCTGCTATACAGAAAGAAAAAAGGAGGATTTTAAGTAAGTCTTCTAACAAAAACATTTTGTTACTATGATGCAAAACCCTTGAGAACAGTGCTGCAGGCCAGTTTGACTAAAATGTTTTTCTGCTGTCATCACTGCCAGTGTTTTGGTGTTTATGTGAAATTCAGATAATGTTGCAGCAAATCTGCATCTTAGGGCTTTGGCTCTCACACATTTTTATCTGTAACTTCATATTTATAAAAACGTGAGCAGATCTGGGGCAGGTCCTTCGACAGTTGGGGGAACGGGAAGCCTTGAGTGTAAATAAAGTGAATTTCCATATTAATCAGACCAAAAGAAATTGTGAAAGGTGTATTTTAAAAGTGCTCAACTTACCTAAAATTGCCACCACCTCGTCATCCTGAATGACCTCTAGTGATCCCGACACCACAAAACAGAGACTGTCCACGCTTTCGCCAGCGTGGTAGATCAGGTCACCGGGGGCACAGTGGATGGTCTGAAACTCCATGGCCAGTGCTCTGAGACACCCATCGCTGGCTAGCCGGAAAGCCGGGTGCTCTTTAAAGACCTTGCGGTTGAGATGAACACAAATATCTGCTCTCATGTCCTTTGGACAAATCTGCAACACCTGAACAGAAACAAGAGAAGGGAAAGGAGCTGTAGATCAGAGGAAGGCTGAATGGTTTAGTTTTTAGTCAGATAATACTGAATTATACTGTAGAGCTGGTGGACAGTCTTCAGCTGATCAGACTTTTCTAATGGTCACATTAGGCCATCATTGTTATTGTCATATTGTCAATATTATTCAACACCCAAGCCTTGGTCACGTATAAATAAACAATAATACTTTGCCTTTGAATAGATATTCACAAATCTCTAAAAAGGACAAATGTGAGAGAGGGAGATGTACTGAGAGTACAAAAAAGATCTTGGCTTGGTACAAAATACATTTTGCAATTAAACTCTTCACTGAATCTTTTTACACCCATAAAGAAAAGCAAGTTTAAAAGAAGTTGAAGCAAAGTGCAGCTTAAGGTCTGTGTGATATTTGTCTGTGGACACTTCTTTCCCTCAGTATATACCAGGAACTGTACTTGAGGTACTTTTTCTTATTTTATATAAACAATGGCTGTTCAAGGTTGAATCCAGCCTAAATATTCAGTAAATTACATACATATGTTATAAACAAACGTATTGTTAAGTTTCCAGTATAAAATGTTTTCAGTATCTGTCTAAGTTTTTCAGAAGTTAATGTCATTGTTCACAAAAAATTAACTGTAACTAAAAGGCATAGATGTTTTTATACTACATAACAGATTTTGAGGTTCTTTCTTTTTCAGTAGCTTTGGAGATACTTCACTGGGAGTTGACTTATCTGTTGGATGGAACTGAATATGTCCAATATTGAGAATGTTTTATGGCGCAGTCCACATGGAAGCTGCTACTAGCTCAGAGTCCAGCCGCCTCTCTGCTGAGTGTCACTGAGTGGCAGCATGTTTTTCAAGTACACCTAATCACCAGGATGCCAGGCCGTCCCAGCACTCTGCCTTTAAAACAAATCTCTTTGAAGATGAATGTCAAGCAGAGAGGGATTATGTGCCATTTTTAGACCCTTTAGTGTGGCCTAAAGCCACACAAATAATACATAGATGCTGTGTAAGCTTAACATATAAAGAGGAGACAATAAGTAGATAAGTACAGAATAACCATTAGGGATCACACATCCTAGTGACAAAATCCCCTTATTAAGAGTTATGTTTCTAAATTGAGGTGAAATAATGTAACTTTTTCTATGATTGGATTTTGGGCCGGTGGATTTAAATAAGATGCATTTATATGAATGCTTTCTGGCTTCAAATCAATCAGAGCGGCACCAGTTCAATCTATCTGCTTCCAGCTTTAAATGTTTAATTTCCACTCACTCAAATCATTTTAGCATTGTCAGAATTCTGGCGGTAACTGTCAATTACTGTGCCATAAACGCCAACCACTGTGTGCTTTTGATAATTGGATGCTGGTAGTGAAGTGAAAAAAGTGTTGCCGCAGAGTAACCTTGTTCTTACAAAGCTAAAAATTAACGAAAAACGACTTTTATACGTAGTGATGTTAAGAAAGCATCAACGGCATAGGTTTGGTTTCCAGGGAGGGGGGGCATAATGTAATGAAATGAATTAGAAATACTGTGTCAATTGTTTTTTTATTTTAAAGAATAGTTTGGGAAATATTATTTTATTCCTACAGCATGCCTAGATTAGTGTATTTAACATTCTATATTAACTTAAAAAATATTAAAAAACTCCAGCATAAAAAAAATACCAGTTATCACACACTATAGGAGAGCCATGAAAGATGAAGCAGTGTGATGTACCTTTTCAGTGTCTATACCCCTTGACATGGACCAGGTGGAGGCAATGTAGTCCATAACTCTTTCACTCAAGCCCTTGGGCACCTGGTAGAGCTTGAGGAAGTCCCTGACACTGTTAAGCATCTCATGGTAGCGATTCGTGTTGGCGTACATCTGCTGGAAGATTGTTGTCACATTACCAAAGATGGTGGCGTAAAGAAGGGCTGGGAAAATACGGAGAAAATTAAAAAGGGAAAAATTTAATTTAGGTTAACAGAATATCTAATGCAAGATTATATGTTTGTCTTGAAGATGAACACTGTGCTGTCTGCTGTTGAAGCTGACATATAAACAAAGTTTTTAGGTGTGTGTATGGACTTCACCTCATGAGAGAAGGTAAATTGTGTGCAAATTCTTTTTTATTGCAAATAATTTGCATTGTCCATTTATAGATATACATTTGTTATAGGGATTCAGTGTTTGGCTTTGTGTTTAGTTTCTGATATCTTCCTGGGGGTTTTAAAACATTTATTAGGAGGCTTATAAGTCCAGGGTCACATACTACTGCAGTAGATTTTAAAATTAAACATAAAAATATACAAAAATATATTTAGAAAATATACATTTACAGGGACACAAAAATCTCCAAAACCTGGTTTACGAGGACATACAGAAATGACAGAATGTGGTTTACAGGTACAAACAAATCCCCAAGACTGGGTTTTAAAAAGACATAACAATTCCCAAATTTGAGTTTGACATAAATCTCCGAAGCTGGCTTTATAAGCACACAAAAATCCACACTGGCCATAGACAGCTCCCTTCTGACACAGGTGGCTTTTATACTCACATGATATGTCAGACCAAATGTGTCTTACGACCTAACAGTTTCATGTGTTGAGTGCTTTAATCAATCACATGATAAATTGACAATTACTACACCTCATTACCTCCAAATATAATCAAAAACTCTCACCAAAAGGAAAGAATTATAATTACAGCTTCGTATTCAGTGTTAGTGTGTCCTACTTTTCTGAACTGTCTTGTCTCGTGAAAGAAGAATTAAAGAAAAGGAAAAGAAAGAGTATAGCAGTGCATCACTGAGCTGGTTAGGTGGTTAAACTGGTGCAACAGCTGGCGTGTGTATGTGGATCAAAGCCATCAGATGTCTCCTCTGTGCGTGTAGTGTTCTCTTGGCAATGGAGCCCTAATTAGCCCTGCTAGAAGGGACGGAGAGGAAACATGCCAGCCACACATTTCAATTATCCTCAGATGATGACAGTAACCTGTGCATGCATTTGTGTGTGTTTGTTTATTTCTCAGTTCACAATCAAAGTGTTGACAAACTGCACAGGGAATAATACTAATTAAAAAGTGTTCAAAACTCCTCAAGGCTAGGATAACCACAACTTTCATCCTTTCATCACCTTAGCTCATTTGTACAGTCATGTTATCAAGCGTTGCAGTACAGTATTATATTAGAGATTTATCACCTAAACACAACGACAATACTCGTTTGTAACATACTGTCAGTGCTGCACATTTGCATGCGTCAAAATCTGCAAGTTAATAGATCAAGAAAGGTTTTGAAAAAGGTCTGGGTCTATTAAATCTAAGATGACTTGACAATCGTCTCTTTTTGAAGTTGCCAAGTTTTGGGATGGCTGCTACCTCGAGCACAGATGGCAACGCTTGCTTTTCTGCTAAGCAGAAAAAAGCTGTAACAAAGGAAACTCAATCGCTCCCTGTGGAACGATGCCTTCATCTAGTCCCCAACATCGCTCTTTACTTGCTTACGTAAACAACTATGTCGTGGCGTTGCTCGGCATCCAACAGCTGGCTTGTTTGAAGGTAGTTAAAAGACAGTAGTCAGAAACTCTAGCCCCAGGCCCACAGTTGCTATAGAAACAGGACATATGTATAGTGCCCCCCTTCCCAATGCCACCCCCCTAAAGTCCCTCGTCACACTGTGATCTTCTACTGCCAGCACCGATCCAGTGCTGGTGGTAAAAATAGAACAGTATCAGGGCATCCATATTTCATAGAGAACAGCCGTGGACTACAGTAGATTGCATCTACTACAATCCTCCCGAGGCTGTCTGGTTTTTAGATATTTACGCTTTAAGATGATTTGTATCTCACTATGAAAAATTTAGACAAGATGCAGATGAGTATTGCGAGTTCCCCCAAGCGCGTCTTTATAAACCTGAACAGCCAAAAGGGTAGAGAAGAGGGGCAACAATCAACCTCTCGCCTCAGGGTTGAGATTGTGGCTGAAAAAAGTACAACGCAGGTGAGGAGTGATTGCGGAGGGGTCGGAGGGAGCACTGTGCTAAATTGATCCACCAGTGTCAGTTATTGCTTCGAGGTGTTGCTCTCTATGTGCAGTCACAAATAATGGTACCAAGCTGTACACTGTATTATGAGCCACACAAGCAAGAGATGCCTTATAAATATTTATTAGTGAGATGTTGAAAGGAGGGTATACTGTAAAAATCTGCCTCCTTCTTAGCAGATTGTTTGGTTAGTTAGGTTTCTTAACTAAATTATGAACCAGATGTGTAAACCACAATAGGTAACAAATATAAACTGTTCATACAGTTACTGTAATTTGAATGATATGAATGTATTTGATGGCTGACTATATGTTTCAGTGTACCAAAATATTTACAAGCTTAAAAACTGCAATCCACAAAATTTGTTACGAATGCTCCGGTAAAACCCCAGCCTCTGAGGAGTAGCCCTCTTATTCACAGCTGCATTTCAGGCATTTCAGAAATACTGTAAACCTGTGTAAGTGATGCATCACGTTCTAAAAAAATCTTAATAATTCAGCACAATATGACACAGCAGACTGACGTAATGAGTCTAATGGACTATAGGCAAGAATAGCAGAACTCCTTCTGAAAAGACACTGCTGAAAGCTATTCACAAGTTTTGAAAACAATTTAAAACTCTTTTTTTTTTTTTGCATTGTATGACTTTGGAGCTCAGTATTTCCACATGAAGCCATTCTCTATCACTGATTACAACACTGATGCAGTAGCCTGTTTCCAACCAGCACCCCATCTCAGAATTTCAGTCTTAGTCTGGTGTTCACTGGACAACTTAGCCAATCAGTGCTCCATAAGATTGAGAGTAGGCATGCATTTCTGTGCCAGACCCAGAAAAACCTGCATCCATGAAAAACAGTGAAAAGAAAATGGCCTCAAAAAACGGACACATGTGGATAAACGTAGCTGTACAGCTCAGTCACACCAGAAATGGCTCAGTGAAATTCATCTGTGCAAAAATATTTGCTTCTTGGAGCTTGGTGACGTACGAATCACTTGCAGGGCCAGTTGGTAATCTACTGCAACTGCCGGGCTAATCCATAACATGTTAGCCATCCTGGAACATGCAAGCACTACTTATTCACAAATGCTCTCTGAGCTTCTTTCTTCTGTCCTGTTTACTGGCCTTTTGTTCTCATGACTGTGAATAATTTTTATAAAAAAAAAAAAAAAAGTGTTACTGACAGACTAAGTTGGCAATGTGAAGTCACATATGCACATGTTGTTTTATGTTAAGTCTGGGAAGTAAAATGGGTCGTTTGTTTGGGTAAACTTACTGTGATTGTGATACTGAAGTGATGATATATATATATTTATTTATTTATTTATTTATTTATTTATTTTTTTTAGCTCCATGGTTAGCTCGGTTAGCTGCTACTACCAGCTGACTGTCCCTGCTACTCTGGCCAGCCTGTCATTCACTCCAGTCCGTGTTGAGGGTACGCTCCCTACAGTCAAAGTCCTTTGCAGGTCTTTCCTTTTTTTAAGGTTTGCAGAAGTGTAACTTGCAGTTTCGTTACACTTTAAATCTGAGCTGAGCTTTGTGAAGGCCTGAAAATTATTTTTTGCTTGTTTTTAAATATTTGTCAAACTCACGAGATGAGTTTGACACATTTTTAAAGCCAAAAGAAGAAATTAACTATGCAACATCCATTATCAACAAATTTTCACATCAAAATTCAAAATACCCCCCTAAATACTATTTGCAAAAAAAGTTATATGTAAAAAGTCACTTATTTATGCAATGCCCTCATAGTCATCACTACTAGTTCCACTACATAAACATATGAAAGTTTTAATCTCCCTAGTAAAAAAGATATTTTCATATTACATATAATTGCAGGTGTGAATAAATGTCCACAAAATTTCAATACCTCAAGTGCCGATAACAAAAACAGACATAAACTAGAACTGTGCCTGAATAGGGGTTTTTATGCATGACTTTGTTCAAAGGAATACACCGTGCAGTCGGCAGTGAAAACACAGTTACCAACACAGGTTATTATAGTATAAATTAAATAAAATTTGCAGTCAGTAGTTCTAGTGCTAAACTATATTCAACCTGAGCTGCATATTCTAGGTTAGAGGAGAGTTAGAAATATTGCCCAGCTAATGATCTGTAAAGTTCTATTTTCTGAACTTTGATGGCTCTATTCATAATTCATTTATTCATCTACCTCAGTGGATTGTGGCTTTAAAGAGCATAGTTAAACTGCTCATGTATCATGTATCTGCTACATTGGATAGAAGATAAAACGCCTCCACTCACATCCAATCATCATCATGGCCACGGCAAAGATTTTCTCTCCGTCTGTCGTTGGTGCGATGTTACCAAAGCCTATGCTTGTCAGGCTCGTCATGGTGAAGTACAAAGAAGTGATGTACACAGAGTGCTTGTTCGGCCCGCCCTCCCACTTTCCTGAGCCGCTGGTATTGAAGCGGTACGGTGTGCCCACCGTCTCAGCCAGGATGTAGAGCCAGCTGTCCATACGCACAATGTTGGTTTCTTCATCGATAACCTCATAATCCCCTATGCTGTACCTGGAGTGCAGAGAGGCGGAAATACAG